GTGAGAAAGTCGATTCAGAAGATGAGTTGTTTGAAAAACTGGCATTGTTGAAATCTGAGAGAAAGGTTTCAAAAGCGAATCATAACATGACAGCTTGGAGAATCCAAAATAGTGATAATACGAGAGTACAGGATTGTGATGACGATGGTGAAACTGCTGCAGGTGGTCGTTTACTACACTTATTGACTATCATGGATGTTTGGAACGTGATAGTGGTTGTAAGTAGGTGGTTTGGTGGTACCCATATTGGTCCTGATAGATTCAAACATATAAACTCTACAGCTAGAGAAGCGATTGTCAAAGCTGGATTTGTTGATGAAAATGACTCCAAAAAGTCCAAAAAGAAAAAGAAATAGATTACATAGAAATAAAGAATTATGATATGCATTTGGTGATGAATCTATTGGGTTGGAGGGTGTGATTTTCTCTTTTTATTGCCCGTTTTCTTGGGGCTCTCATCATTGGCTCTCTTTTCTCGTGCACCCTTGATGCTGTCTTTCTCTTGCTTTTGTTTCTTCCAAACCGCATCTATATCATTACCATCTTCTTTTTTCTCCTTTGCTTCATCCTCCTTTTTGGCGCCAAACGTTCTTCGTCCAACAATTGGTGCTCCATTGCTTAATGTATTTATACTAGTATAACCTACCGATATGATTTTTGGTTTCGAGCTAGCTTTTCTCTTCACACTCGCAGCACTATCTGTCTTCCACTCTGAAAGATCTCTCAGTTTCGTTTCATGCTCTTCTATCTCCTTCTCTTCAGCCTTTTTCTCAGCTTGTTTCATAAACTCAAGATACTGTTAGTACATATTCCTTTCAGCAATTTAAAGTCCGCATAAAACTCACTTTCATGTTTAAAACATTGGTGGAAAATCCACCTTTTTTGCCAGACATCGTCAAGATACTGATATGATGAGTTTATCTACCTTCAACTGGCACTATTTTATTCACAATAGAGTCGTTAAATTGTATGTGTCTTCCTAATGTACATTAAATCAAATTCGCGATTTCTATAATTTTTTCAGAGAGGGTGACCCCGGTGGAATTTTTTTTTTATATGCGATGAGATCAAGTATAAACCAGATTAAATATTTACGTTACAAGCTACAAGATTAAATTATTGGAAAGGAATGAAATCTGATTTTAAGGTATGTTCTACACTACTGTATAGCACTATCGGTGGGTTCTCTAACAAAAACTATAGTTTTCTAATCTTTTGGGTACAGTTTACTCCCAAGGTAACTTGGTATTTACAGAAGATGGAACCAAATTATTGAGTCCTGTCGGTAACAGAGTCTCAGTTTTTGACCTTCTAAATAACAAATCATACACTTTACCTTATGAACACAGAAAAAACATTGCTAGAATTGCTTTGAACAAGCAAGAAACTTTACTTTTATCGGTAGATGTTGATGGAAGAGCTATCTTGGTTAATTTCAATGCTCGTACAGTTTTACATCATTTCAATTTTAAAGACAAAGTTCAAGACTTAAAATTCACACCAGACTCTCGTCATTTTGCTATTGCTTGTGGGAGATTTATTCAAGTTTGGAAAACTCCAGATTATACTGAAGATAGACAATTTGCACCATTTGTTCGCCATAGAATTTACGCTGGACATTTTGCAGATGTTACATCAATCACATGGTCAAGTGATTCTAGATTCTTTGTTTCCACATCAAAGGATTTAACTTCAAGAATATTTTCATTGGATTCTGAAGAAAGTTCTGTTGCCATGACATTTGCTGGTCATAGAGATTCAGTGATAAATGCCTTTTTTTCAGCTAATCAAGAAATCATTTACACCATAAGTAAAGATGGTGCTTTATTTCAATGGGAATATACTAAAAGACCAAGTGATGATTCAGATGATGAAGACTCGGATGAAGAAGTTGATGAATCTAAAATGAGTTGGAGAATCACCCAAAAGCATTTTTTCTTTTCTGAAGCTAATGTCAAATGTGCAGCTTTCCATCCAGAAAATAACTTGTTAGTTGTTGGTTTCACAAATGGTGAATTCCGTTTATATGAACTTCCAGCTTTCAATATGATACAACAATTAAGTATGGGTCAAAATGAAGTTAATACTGTTAACATCAATAAAACTGGGGAATGGTTAGCTTTTGGTTCAGCCAAATTGGGACAATTATTAGTCTATGAATGGCAGTCAGAATCATATATTCTAAAACAACAAGGTCATTTTGACTCCACAAATGCTTTAGCATATTCACCAGATGGTTCAAGAGTGGCCACTGCTTCAGATGATGGTAAAATCAAGATATGGGATGTCGTTTCCGGTTTTTGCTTAAATACTTTTGAAGAACATACATCTGCTGTTACTGCTGTTAGATTTGCTAAAAAAGGCCAAGTTTTATTTTCAGCATCCTTGGATGGAACTGTTAAAGCTTGGGATTTAATAAGGTACCGTAACTTCAGAACTTTTACAGCTACAGAAAGAATCAAATTCAATTCTTTAGCTGTTGATCCAAGTGGTGAAGTTGTCTGTGCAGCATCTCAAGACACTTTTGATATATATGTTTGGTCCGTTCAAACATCACAATTGGTTGATACCCTAGCTGGTCATGAAGGTCCTGTTTCTTGTTTATCCTTTGGTGTTGAAAACAGTGTGTTGGCAAGTGCAAGTTGGGATAAAACTGTTAGAGTTTGGAGTCTCTTTGGACGTACACAACAAGTTGAACCTTTTGAAATATACTCAGATGTGTTGGCTATTGCAATGAGACCTGATTCTAAAGAAATTGCAGTGAGTACTTTAAGTGGTCAAATTCAGTTTTGGGATGTTGAAAATGCAAAACAAACTGGTAATATCGATGGCCGTAAAGATATAATAAGTGGAAGATACTTGGAGGATAGATTTACAGCTGCTAATTCATCAAGAGCTAAGGCATTCACAACCATAGATTATAGTTTCGATGGTTTAACTTTGGCAGCTGCAGGTAATAATAACTCCATTTGCCTCTATGATATTCCTAATGAAGTTTTGTTAAGAAGATTCACTGTTTCTTTGAATATGGAACTGAATGGTACACAACAATTTTTGAATAGTTCTAGATTAACAGATGCTGGATCTTTAGATTTGCTAGACAGAGATGGTGAAAATTCCGATTTAGAAGACCGTTTAGATAATTCATTACCGGGCTCAAGACGTGGTGATCCATCATTAAGAAAAACAAGACCAGAAATCAGAGTCGCTTCTATTCAATTTTCACCAACTGCTGCCTCGTTTGCTGCTGCTTCTACTGAAGGTATTTTGATCTTTTCGATTGATGATCGTGTTATTTTTGATCCATTTGATCTAGATATGGATGTTACTCCAGAATCAACACTCGAAATGCTAAAAGAAAAAGATTACTTGAGTGCATTAGTGATGTCATTCAGATTAAATGAAAGATATTTGATACACCAAGTTTATGAAAGTATACCGGTTGTTGATATAAAATTAGTTGCAAATAATATTCCTGTCGTTTATGTTGAGAGGTTATTGAACTTTATTTCATCAATTGCAATGACTTCACCACATATTGAGTTCAATTTGATATGGATCAAAGCCATAATATCTGCACATGGTAAATATATTAACACTCATAAGCATGAATTTGCTTCTGCTTTGAGAGGTGCCCAAAGATTCATCGCTAGAATTGCTAAACATATAGTGAGAACTTCAAAGGATAATGAATATTCATACTTGTTCCTTTCCACAACGGTTACATCTGAAGTTGATGAAGAAGTTGATGAAGATAACATCATCGTTGATGCCTCTGGTGATGAGAATAGTGAGAGTGATATTGACCAAGATGAAGAAGATGACGAAGATGGTGGTTGGTTTGACAGTGAAAAGACTCAAAAATACAACAACGAGTCTGACGATGACTCTGACGATGAAGAGTTGGACTAAAGTCGATACAACAGAGGTAATTTGCATAAATAAATAGATATAAAACATGTTCATTAATTTCAAAACTATTTACAAATAGAGCTCATGACTCGTATAAGAACAACTCTTTTACTCAGAATCTGCTTTCACATCTGACTCATGTTTGGCTGGCGGTTCGTCCTCACTCTCCAAAAGTTCTCTAGCATCCTTTAGAAGATATTTCCGTGCACCATTATTAGTGAAGGGAACACCTTTCATTCTCCTTCTAACGCATCTTGAGTCTGGTATATCAGTAAAGTCTTGCGGATTTCTGTCCTTGTTAGGTGAACTGCTGATAAATCTTGTAACTTCTTTTGGATAAAGCTTCATGAACTTCTCGGTGGCTTTAACAAGAGGAGCATTAATACCTGCAGCCTTATCCATAGCCATATGAACCAAAAACGTATCTTTTCTCTGGCTTGGGCTTTTATACTTCTCAGTTGCAAATAGTCTCTGCATTTTGAAGTCCAATATTTTCATGAACAACCCCAACTCTGGAGTGTAATCGAGAAAACTCTGTACTAAACAATAATCATAGATTCTTCTTGAAAACTCATAAAATCTAGAATTGAGGTCATACAGATCATCGCCTATCTGGACATATTGAAACAAGTCTTGGGTTAAAATGAAGCTCATTTCACCCATATCAATCTTTGCAATGATTTGAGTATTTCTCTTTATTGATTGATCTTCTGTTATGCTTTTGAACACTTCTAAAAGTTCTTGGTGATCATTAAACTCTCTCCCGTGTCTATGTTTTTTGTCTAGCAATCTTTTTAACTTAAGATACTCCTTTCTCTTTTCTGGAACTTCACCAAACTCTAAGAACAGTTCTTTATTGACTTTCAAAATAAATTCTCTTTGTCGAGGAGACATGATATGAGCCTGGTAAAGCAGACACCGGCTCTCAGAAAACTTCAACGCTGGTGAGGTGCTCATACACCGTATGGATATCCTTGATCTGAGCATTTTGATTTCTCTAGATCCGATTAGAAGAAAGTATCAGAAAGCAGCAAAATGTTGTAGAAAGGTTCAGTACAGTAAAGATTTTTCTCTACGTTAAAATCGATGCGACAAGGGCACTCAACCATTTGAAAATTTCAAAGCAAAACAATGTAACCAAGAATCGAATAATCCAGGCAAAATATCAATAAAGAAAGCGTTATGGTGGATATTGGAAGCTCATTGATAGTTCTGGAGAAGGTGCTTGAAGCTGTGGGCTCTGAAAGTCGCTCTGAAGAGCCATTGCTCGATGTAATGAGTCAGCTGACTGTTATCGTCAAGAGTTCAATAACTGATCTAGAGTTGAGACATGAAATGGCACATTCACATCATATTTGGAGAATGATCAAAGTGGATCTGGAGCAAGAGCCCGAAGAAGTGAATTTGGAACTTAAATTTAGGTTGATCAGAGGTGTTGTCTTGCTGGCTAGGAATCTATTATCAGTGGCTAGAGACATTGCACTAGAGATTGGAATACGACAGGCTATTTTCAAGTTTGGGTTAAATTTACAGAGAATCCAAGAGAACGAAGGCATATACAATAACTGTTTGGTTTCTGCTTTCCAATGTTTATCCAATCTCACTGTTAACATGAAGGATCACGAACCTGAGGTGCTGTACGAACTAGTTGCAGTTTTCAAGTCAATCAAAACTTGGAACGAGGATACTCAATTACCTGTGTTTTCATACTTCAAAAACATTATGGATTCTCCGGATTTCTTACACTTTGCTTTGTCAAAAGGTGAAGGTAAGCCAATTCTAAAAGAATTATTGATTCAATTTGAGAAACTTGACTTGGAAGGGGAGCTTTCGAGCATTGGAATACTAATTGTTAGTATTTTCACTAAATTGATTGTTCATGAATCATTTTTGAAGTTCATCACCGTATATAATGATCCTGACTATACTATTAGATATTTGAAAGTTGCTCAAACAATCATCACTAGTAAAGAATCATGGGAGGTGTTTGAATTGACAGTTATCTTATCGTGGGTTTATGAACTTTTCCAAAAGACAGTTCCACAGATCCAGTCGTATTTTGAAACAAACTCACAAGATGAACCATTATTTATTTATCAAAAAGCTTCAAGCAGCTTGGATATTCTTGCTACACTCTCGAAATATGATCATTCAAGAAAGTTTTTACTATCTTATGAAGGTGTTCAAAACTTGGTTGGTTTATTAGGTATAATACAAAAGAATGTGAAACCAAAAAAGCTTAAAGACGATCAAAAATTAGAGGCAAAGAAAGATTTAAAGATCGAGTACAAGAATTTTCCACATATAAAGTCATTCATCATTGAAATTTTATCATCTTTAGTATATCAAAACTTTGACGTACAAGAGTTAATGAGAGAACTTCACGGATTGGAACTTGTCTTATCAAATTGTATTATTGATGATAATGAACCGTTCATCAAAGAAAGGAGCATTGTTTGTTTAAGGTTTTTGCTTTTGAATAATGAAAAAAACCAAGAATTTGTTTCAAAATTAGAAGCCAAACAAGCTGTTCAAGATGATACATTAGATGAAGCAGGATTTGAGGTTGAAATAGTTGATGGGAAAGTCAAACTGAAACAAAAACCAAACTACAAACCTTGAAAGTCATTATTACTGCATATTAATTAATTTTTTGAAGCCTATTTACCTTCTTTTTGTAATTCTTCAATGATGGCTGATTTGACTAATTCAACATCAGCTTTTTCAATCAATTTAATCTTTAATTCTTTAGAAGACAATTGTCTCAATTCTTCTGGTAAAACTTCTTTGTCAAATGAATAACCTTCAATTGAAGATAGAGCTTGGTTAACAGCATCTGCAAATTTAGCTGGATGAGCAGTAGATAAAGAGATATAGTTGACACCGGCAACGTTATCAGCTTTATCTTGAGCAATATGTCTGTAAGAAGCAGTAACACCAACTGCTGAATGTGGGTCCAACACATATTTAGTTGTGTTAGAAGTGTAAAGATCTTTAATAGCTTTGATAGTTTCTTGGTTATCAACTCTTTCACTGTCGAAATCTTTTCTAGCAGCTGCGATAACTTCTTGTGGAACAGTGAATGAACCAGTTTGTTTCAATTCAGCAAACCAGTTATTTATGGTTTCACCAGCTTTTTCATCTGATTTGGTGACATTGTTTCTAACCAAGTACCATAGTAAACGTTCAAAATTACTTGAAATTAAAATATCCATAGCTGGTGAAAGAGTTGCTTTAACGTCACCACCTTTTTCATATTTAGAACTTTTGAGGAATCTATCCAAGATATCATTTTCATTTGTAGCAATGATTAATCTATCAGCTGGTAGACCCATTTCTTTGGCATAGTAACCAGCCAAGATATCACCAAAGTTACCACTTGGAACAACAAAGCGGATTTTTTTATCTGAACCGACCTTCTTAGCTAATTGGAAGTATGAATAAAAGTAATAAGTTTGTTG